AGAATACATTCCCCCCTAAAAGATATGGGTAAATGTCCTTGGAAACGTAAAGCCCGGGCCACATTAAGAATGTGACGATGTTTCCGTTCGACCCGCCCATTTTGTTGAGGAGTCCCTACACAAGATGTTTGAAAAAGAATCCCATGTTCACAGAAATGATTTTTTAAACAATTAAATTCTGTGCCGTTGTCACTCCGTACCATGGAAATTTTGCTAGCAAATTGACGTTCAATCATGACTATAAAAGACATAAACATATGGTAAACCTCTTTTTTATCAATCAACAAATAAACCCAAACTGCTCGAGAAAAATCATCCACAATGGTTAAAAAACTTTTAGCACCACAAGAAGAGGGAGTGTGATAAGGACCCCAAACATCACAGTGAACAAGTTCAAATATTCGGGTGGTTTTATTAGTACTTGTAGGAAATGGAGTTCTAGAATGTTTAGCTCGGTGACATATTTCACATGGCAAATTTTTATTAAATTTATGCATGGGAAAAAGAGACGACATAATTGTTTCGGATGGATGTCCCAAACGTTGATGCCAAATGTCCACAGATAAAGTTGAGTTGGTTACGGCAAGGGAATGAACCAATTTTCCGGTACATAAATAGTAAAGTCCATCCCGACGCTTACCCAGTCCAATCAGCTTCCTCATTTGAAGGTCCTGTATAGCACAAGTATTAGAAGAAAATTGTAGCAAACATGGGATGTCATTAATTAACTGTGAAACTGAGAGTAAATTGCAAGTCAGTTGAGGAACATATAACACATTTTGGAGGCATATATCTGTGGATAAGAAGACCCGTCCAGCTTTAGTAGCCAAGGCTTGGTGACCGTTGGGAAGGCCAACTAGCCGAGCAGTAATATTACGGATGTGAGAGAGGCACGAAAAATTTCCCGTGACATGATTAGAAGCTCCGGAGTCAATGATCCAAGAAGTGAAATCAAACGTACCGTGCATGAGGTTGGACGGAGAAGGTGGCTGACCAAAGGCCGCCATTAGTGCGTGCCACTGAGCTTCGGAAAAAATGGAGCGGCCGCTTCCATGGTCGGCGGTAGGGAGCTGGCCGGAGGAGCTTACGGCCATGGAGAAATCCTGCTGGCCTGAGAGATGAGCAGCATGCTGGGGACCATCATCGTTGAAGTAGACATCCGAACTGCAAGTTGCAGATGTTGGTTGGCTTGGCCCTGGAGTGTTGGATGCATGCATGAGCTGGAGACTTGCTGCTGGAGAGATAAGATGATGCTCCATACCTGCAGGGTTGACAGTGGGCCTAGAAATAATAGTAGAGTTGACTTTGGCAGCTGCATTTTTTTGTCCACGATGCATAGTGCGCCCATCAGACGGAGGAAAATACTTCACATTTCGTTCAGATAATCTGGGGCGGCTGCCCCACCATTCTGGATAACCTTTAATTTCAAAACAGCTTGCACTGGTATGTCCCCGAGATTTACAGTGAGTGCAAGTTAAACCAGATTTATCAATTTTTTCATATTTCAATTTTCCTTGGATGTCTGACCGAAGTGCAAACCCCATGACTTCATTATTTTCATCTCGTTCCTTACTTTGAACCATTCCACGCACCCGTTCCTCTTGTGATATTTGTTGGAACGCCCGATTAAGCGTGGGGAGAGGTGTTTGGGAAAGTAATTGAGAACGAATTTGTCCATAAAATTCTGAAGATAATCCCATTAAAAATTGATGAAATCGCTCGGATTCTCGGCGTTGTTCATGTAAAGTATTGACCTTACAAGTACACTTACCGCAAGAGCAATTTATCAATGGTTCATAATTATTAAGCTCATCCCACAAAACTTTAAGCTTCCCATAATAGGTGGCAACCGACTGTGATTTAGATTGTTCACATCTAGCAATATCGGTTTTTACTTGATAAATTTTAGGATCGTCAACCACCGAGAAACGCTCTTTTAAATCATTCCAAAGAAGTTTTGCATCATCAAATTTAGACAAAGTAAGTTTTACCTCCGGTGAAATAGTATTCAAAATCCAAGAGACTAACATGGAGTGTATAGTCAACCAATCTTCCTCAGTGCAAGGAGGCTGGGGCTCATTGATAACACCATTGACGAAGACAAATTTACGCCTAGCGCGAAGTGCAAGGCGGACAGAACTTGACCAATCATCGTAATTTTCACCGGTAAGACGAACTGGAGTGATAAAATCTCCGGGTCTATCTTGAGGACCCAAATAATACGGAGAAGTGTATTCTATTTTAGGAGTAACTGTAACCTCTCCAATAGCCATGGAGATGGGGAAGAAATATCACTAGAGAGTTTGAAAATAGCAAGACTCTGATACCATGTTGATATTATTGATATTATTGAAATACGATACAAAGCAAGAAAGAATAGGAAGACTTGTCATATATTATTATTGAGCCAAAGCCATGCATATATAGTAGTATTACAGGAGGAAATAATTGAGGCATACCTCAATGATCAGTGTACCCTACGAGAAACAATAATAGGAGTACTAATAATAATAATAATAATAATAATAATAATAATAATAATAATAATAATAATAATAATAATAATAATAATAATAATAATAATAATAATAATAATAATAATAATAATAATAATAATGTGTAACACTTTGCATCCCACTTTTTGGGTGATATTGGACTTTGCACCCTATTTTTAAAACTCTTAGACTTTGCACCCTATTTTTCCTAAAATGTCTTTGCCTTGGCACCCCATTCAAGAGTTTTTCTTCACAGAATGTTGTAGATAGGATGCAAAGTCTAAAAGTTATGAAAATGGGGTGCAAAGTCCAATATGACCCAAAAAGTGAGGTACAAACTCAAAATTCCCCATTTATTAATGACTGAAGTTTGTGATCGAGTTATAGCCATAGGCATTGAGCCATTGACTAATAAGCCGGCGTCACTGATTTACAAACATACCCCGTAATCCGTTTATTAGTAACGCAAGTGTTGATTATAATTACTAGGGCCTGTCCAATTTTGGGTGCTACATCACACAACGTTTTTGTGTGCCTGCTGGTTAGGGCCTGTCCAATTTTGGGTCTATGAGCGATATACTATTTTGGCTTTATTTTCAAGATAAAGAGTAAATTATACCCCGTACTTACTTAAAGTAGAAATTACGGAGTATAATAAAACTAGGAGAAATTACTCTAAATATAACTAAAAACGTTTGTATATTCCAATCTAAGATTATCATGTTTTTATTCTCTAAATAGAAGTAATTAATATCATTTTTGGCAGTATCATATTTTACACATGGTGGTATTTTCCGAACATGACAATAATCAATCCTATTCAGAAAATAAACACATGACTGTCCTATTTTGAATTTCTAAAAAATTACTCCTATTTCAGGAATTCTCCTTACAACTATCTAATAAAGGTCATGAAATAAAGATGAAATTCACATGTATTTGGACAAAAGTAACAACACATGTATCACAAAAGAACATTGTGAAGTAAAATCATAAATAAATGCTTTATAATCAATATTTTCCAAGATCACATGGGCAATGTCTAAAATTGCTAATCCATTAAGTTTTTTGAAGCATAATAGATAATTGGGATGATGTTTGATAATTGGGAGGCACCGACAGCCCAAAGACAATAATAAAAATTGGTAATTTTGTAATTAAAAGAATGAAAAATCTTATAGGCTAAAAAGATGTGAAGAGACGTGTTTTTATTGATTTTACAACAAATATGTTGACTTACAACCAACTCTATTTAAAAATCAAAACTAAATTTATATTCTTTTTAAAAACTTGTCTAACTTTGTTCAAGACTTTTTACTTATATTTTAAAATTCTCAAATTGTCAAAAAAATTACACATTAGGCCTAATTAATTAATTGAATTATAAATAAAAAAGAAGCCTACTCATATTACATAAAAAGAAAAAAATTTGGGCCTAAATTTCTTTCTACTTTTTTTCAGGCCTAGGGCGGTCGCCCCTGTTGCGCTCCCCCTAGGACCGGCCATGCGAGTGCTGGTTCTGCAATATGCCACCAAATTTGTACTTGTTTTATACGAAATACATCGCAATGTCTTCTCTATAACTCTAACTTATACAGAGTAATTAAATCCGAAGTAATTAAATACTCCGTATGTATATGCTTGAATCTGGATGCACCACAATAAAAATACTTTAACATTCTATATAAGCATACATGTTTGGAATTAAAATGCCTTAAACGTCAACAAATTAAGAGTTGCATGTGCAGGAACTAGCAATAAATTTAAGGAAACATTATGAGTTTATGACTCAAGTATTGGATCATACTACCTTCGTTCCAAATTGATTTGCAAATTTGACTTTTGTTAGCTTGGTCCAACAGTTTCATTTTATATGCTCAATTAGGATGTCATTTTTTAATTACTCCCTCTAACCTGAAATAAATGTCTTGTTTGTTTTAGCACAAGTTTTAAAAAAGTGGTCTAAAAGGTAAAAGTTGTGGTTGAGATTTGAGTAGAAAAAGTGAATTGATATGAGCCACATATTATTGCCAAAATAGGAAACAAGACAATTATTTTGGGAGTGACGAAAAGGAAAGCAGAACATTTATTTCGGGACGGAGGGAGTATATTCTAATTTAGAGTTTGCGATTTTGAATAGATTTCAATATAGTTTCTCAATATATAAATTTTAATTATTAAAAAACTGAATCAATTATCAATAGGGAGGATTGACTTTTATTATTGGTTGATAAAAAATGTTCACTTTGCAAAACAATTCGGGACGGAGGTCAGGGAGTATCTCATGTGCATGTGTTATCTTTATAAATCATTCATACTGCTACATATATGAATGACAATGGAAATACAACATATGACCTGATACAATGAAATGTTATGTGATTCTTTAAATTATACTCCGTCCCACTAAGATTCTGACATGATGGATGACACGTTTTTTAAGAAAATCGAGTATATATTGTACAAATTGAATTGATAAAGTAAAAATAATTTAGAAGCACACATGAATTATTAGTGGGACGAATTGAAAAAAAAAAATGAGACAACCTTAGTGATAACGGAGGATTACCTAATAAGTGTAAGGATGTTTTTACTTGGACTATAATTTGTTTCATACCAGATCAGAACAGACCAGACCAGATTAGACTTGGATGAGTATAAAAATACAAAGAAATTAGACCAGATCAGACCATCAAATTAACATCAAGTAAAAACATCCCAAGTAAACAACAATTACAAACTCTATGGGTTTGTTTGGATGTAAGGGCTGTTTTGTTTTATACTTGAAAAAAATGCTACATATTGCAGCGTGTGTTGGGGGAGAAGCGCGAGAAACCAAACATGGGCTACAAATTAGAGCTGGCTAGCATTGAGCAGGAGCGAAACCTACGCGGCGGTTGACAAAGTCGTAACTGACCCGCATCCCCTGTTGCTGAAAGTTCCCCATGATTGCAGGGGTCGCCGGAGCAAAGGCGAAGCAATGCTTCCCCGACGTGTCCACCGCCACCAGAACATTCCTCGCCGGCAAATCCAGCTTAATCTTATCGGTGAAGTGGAACGACACAGTGGGGACGGAGACACTCTTCGTGCTCCGCAAATCGTAACACGTGTCAAACGGGGGGAATTGTGTGGGGCCCGTCCCATGGTTGCCCATCAGTCGGACGAAGGCGTCGCGGATCGGGCCGTACACGTTCCCCGGCAGCCGGGTCAACGCAGTCCCGGAGTCGACGACGATTCCGCCGCCGCCGCCCGGCGAGATTTTAATCATACCCTCTCCGCCGACGCTGACACCGGCCAGGGCAGCGTAATAGGAAGCCTTCAATCCGCGAGGACTTTTGAGTAACGGAGCGAAGACGGATTCCGCCGGGATCGGCGGATTGAAGTCTAGAGTTGACCCGGATTTAGAGTTGTGGTCGACCAGGCAGTACGAGAAAGAGGAGAGCCTCATCTGGGAACATAACGACAAACCGCCGCGGCCCAGGCCCATCGATCCGTCGGCCCCAACAAATCCGCCGCGGGGGTTATCGTGTCCGCAGCCGATCGCGATCTTACCCGCCGTGCTGCCGCCAAAGCTTATCGTTTCCGTCACAAGGTCGCCGGCGGATGTGGATCCGTCTGCGTAGCCCACCTTGTAACCGCACCGGCCGGCATTCTCCCGGCAGGTCTTCCGACCTTTCAGGGACCCACACACTCCAGAATCGCACCGGAGTGAAGAGAAAGTCTTAGAATCTGAGGGATTGAAAATGGGGAACTTTTGCGGGTAACAATATGGGCAAGGTTGGCATTGGATCCAGGTGAAATCGCTCCCCGTATCGACCACCATGTAAGCCCCTTTTGCCGGCGCTCCGATCCCGACTCTGGCGAAGTATTCGCCCATACCCAGACTCAACCCGGATGTAACCTGCGCGTTGACCGCCCGATTCAGGCGGGCCTGGATCGATTTCACTCGAGCCGAGTCACGCGCGAGTCGGGCGGTCACGAGCGACTCGTAATCTTTCTCCCCGGTTGGCCCGACCGCCAGCCGAGATCTCAGTGGGAAAGACTTCGAAGAAGAAGAGGAAGGAAATGTAGTTCGGTTATCTTCTTGAAGAGATTCCTCTTCCGCCGCCGGAGAAGAATCGACGGCAGAGAAGACGTCGAGCGTTTTCTGAATCGAAGCCTCGACGTCGAATAAAGTAGTGTTCGTGGACGCCTCCTCTGTGACCGTTGGCAGTGAAAGTAATAATGTCAGAAAAATGGGTAAGAGTGAGAAGAGCTTATAAGAAACATTCGCCATTGCCGTTTTGATTGAATTGGTAATTACTGGTATAAAGGCGGCGGTTTGCGGCTTCAGTTGGCAAGAACATGAATACGACCTTTGCCTGAATATATATAGCCGTCGAGCGGTATACCGTACACTACGCCAGCATGTTTAATTTATTTGACTTATTTTAGTCTAATTAAGGGTTCGTGATCTTTTTTTCCACATATCAAACTTATTAGCAATTTTAATTAAACACGCAATTTTTGATTTCGCAAGCTGAATTTTGTAATAATAATAAAAAATTAATATTGAAATTACTTTTTTGATTGTATTGGATAAAATTATTGTAGATGAACATTTTAGCTATTTTTTACATAATTTTTTATTTTATTTATTGATAACAAATATTTTAAACATAATTTTTTCATAACTCAGCAGAATTAGTCAATACAACCACTTCTAGGCCCGGGACTTCGAACAGTAAAACCGGAAAAACCGATCCGAACAGAATCAAATTTTCCGGTTCGGTTCCGTCCTATAATTTTGGGCGTCATCTTTTTTCGGTTTGGTTTCTATAGTATATGATCGATTCGGTTCCGGTTCGTTTCCAGTTCGGTTCCGGTTCCTAGGCAGGAACCGAACTTCTTATATATTGCATGAGTAATCTTCATTGGAGGTGCTTCTGGGTGGAATTTTTTGATAAAATTTTGTGAGCTTGTTTTTCATGAAATGTAGATTAATTATGTCCACCAAATTGGAGCTTAAAATTCAATCGGAAAGTTAGTTAAATAAATTATTGAAAAACACTACGTCAAAATACATATAAAAAAACGCAATGTTTTTCAATATTTTATTTAACTGACTTTACGATTGCATTTTAAGATGAAATCCTACACTTCATGTATAACATGCTCACAACATATAATAAAAAAAATTCTACACGGAAGAACCTTAAATAGAGGTGGCTAGACGGCGTTCCGGGCGGAAATTCTTGTCAAGAATATTTGTCTTGCATAATATACCTTATATATTGTGGACCACGCCAATTTGAGTACTTGTTATTTTACTACTTTAGTCCACTTTTATATTTATTATTTTTTTTGAATTATGATTGTATTTGTTATTAGAGTTCATCTAAAAAAGGAAATAATATTCCGCTGATCACATTATTATTTGTTGATAGTAAATTACAAATATTATTGGTCAGTTTATTATTATGTACTTTTTACTTATGAAGCATTATTAGTAGAAGAATATTATTTTGAGGTTGAAATACCTGCCATTGGATGTGTATCTTGAAACTATTAAACCTTTTTGCTTGTTAGTTGATGCCTATATTAAACTTTTATGTTTTTGTTATGTCTAAACTTAATGTTTTCACTTGAATATTTTTGTGATATTTGAACATTGGAATATCATGTATGTATAAAGTAGTGATCATAATTTCATCATTTGACATTTGAATTTTTTATGTAACTGAAGATAAAATGTGTTCATTATGATAATAAATTTGTATTAGGAACTGAAAAATGAAAGAACCGAACCGAATTTAACAACTACATATTTAACTAGAACCGAACCGAATTTAGCTCCTATAGTTTTTAATACGGTTCCTGCATAAAATTTTAACAAGAATCGAACCGATCCCAGGCCTAGCCACTTTATCCAGAACTTCATAAATTTCAGCAGAATCAGTCAATTCAGCCAATTTCAGTGTTACCAAACGGGTTCTAAATCTGATCGCATCGTGCCATTTTTAAATAAGAGCTAATTGTTTTAAATAGGACTAAATTGATTTCTAAATGCACAAATTGGACGATGTTATTTATTTTTCCGGAATATGACTACAGTATAAACTATATTTGCATCCTACCCTTATTATAACTAATAAATAGGATAATCATATTTAATATTGTAATAAAAATGAAAATATATTTTAACTTATACAAAAAATCATAAAAGAATTTAAAAATATTTTTTAAAATATTAAAATAATAAATATTACGTAGTAGAATTTAAGAATTAAAAAATAAAAGACTTTAAAAGAATAGATACAACACATTAAAAAAATGTAAAAAAATGGAGGCTTCTGAGAAAACTAGAATAACCTTAAATAACATTTAAGTTTAGTACGCTTAGGGATTTTTTAAGCTTGGGAATTTATCATTTGATCTCATAAATGTGTCTTTGTGATCTATCTACTTCGAAATATTATGCTTTACTTTCATTTTGATGTTCAAATTCACTCAAATTAGTGCAAACTAATTTCGACATTTTGATCTGATCCATAAATGTGGAATACTTTAGCTTTTTGGACTAGGAGAAATGTCTTTAAAATGAAACAACATGCTTTTCTTATTTTTTTATCCTCGTAGTTTAACTTTAGTGCTTATTTGCTCCTAATTCTCCATTGAAAGAATACAACAAGGTGGTCATTGTATATTAATTACAACAGTCTTATAAAAAATGTAGAATCACTTGCCCATTCAATGGTGGTGGTTCACGAGGGAGGTGAGGCACCGATAGCACTATCGACAATTTGAGAAAAAAGATATCTTCTGATAAAAGTATATTTACATCTAAAAGAGTGTTTTTGATAGCAATTAAACAATAATATAGCATCATGTACCAACTCGCGTTGCTAATTTGAACAGAACTCACGTATCCATTTAGTGACCGTCAAAATTGGCAAGATTAAGAGGAACAAAACACCGCCCATAAGAGCACCAAACCACTTTATTTAAGCCAAAAAAAATCAAAGCTATCATTTTTAGAAGATGGGTGAGTACATTCCTTCATATAGTGATATGTTATCCGCAGGGTATGAATGTATCATACGGAGTATAGTATTTTTATCATTTTTGAATTCCCAAATCCTTATACTTAATAGCGATACAAATCAATCTTGACCGTTCATTTATATTTCATCTCACCGTTCATTTCAAAATCTCGGCCTTTCCATCAAAATATCATCCATCTACGAGTATTGCTTATTGGTTTCCTTTCTATTTCCTTTTCTATTTCGCTCTGTACAAATACATCTCAACTTCTCAAATGTCTTAGAAAATAAACCTTCATCGATCTGCTCCTTTCCTCTACATCCGACGTTCTTCTTCCGCTGCTTCAAGTCCACGGCCTTCCATCAGCCGATGTTTTCCCTTCCGCTGATCAGCGCTCTGTACTAAATCTGCTGCAAGTCCACGGCCATCCAGCACCTACGGCCAGCAGCTAAATCAATTTCCCCCTTGGTCAAGCTATGACTGTCGTCTCTCACCGCTACACCTCTTCACCTCCTTGGCTCCCGTTCGCCCGCACCAGTCCTTCCCTTCGAAGATGAAGTATTCAGCCGCACCAGTCCTTCGCTAGAATATGATGATTAAGGTCGAAGATGAAATCTGATTTCATAAAAGGTCGTGTGATTTCCCCTTATTTGAATTTAGTGGCTTTCATACTTAATTATGACAATTTTTAAATTGTTCTTTATTCGGAAATTCCATAATAAAATTTATTTTTAACTCTTTTCCCCAAACAGAATTAATTTTTTAATTTAGAAATCCAAATTCTACCCAAATCCAATTTAAAATGCCCCTTTAAAGTTTGAGTTTATGAATGGCCTTGAAAGTTTAATTTTAATTTTGTAGGTCATGGAACTGAAATACAGATGCTATTAATTTTGAAAGTTTAATTTTGATATAAATTTTCGTCCCCCTGTATTTTTTATGCAACATATTTACCTACAACAAATTAAAGAGATAATTCTACATAAAAAAAAGAAAGAATCCCACGAAGAATTGTATTCTTAAACCAATTGGGACACATACATGAGTATCCATTCAAGACGTTATTTTATCCGAAAAGGGCTCTTTCTTAGTATTGATACTCATCTCTCTCTCTCTCTTATGGTATTAATAATTATCTCTTCAGTCAAGTGTTTGTATTATAATATAACTCTTCCTGTATAATTCACACCTATATATACTTACATATACCTACGTAATACTATGCTCTCATAATACTCACTCTTCCTTTTTCTTCTGCAATTCACAAATCATGGCTCCGGTTCAAATTTTTTTGTCTGATGTCACTCTCAACCTCAAACGCAATGAAGCACTGTTACTACGTGTAGTGCGTAAGTGGGTTGTTCAATACGAGGAAAACAGATTCATGGAATTGGTGTTAGTCGATGAGAAGGTGTGTATGTTACTACGTGTTTTGCTTTTGCACATTCTGGTTACATAATTTCAGAATAGTATCTTAACACTGATTTGCATGTCTTTGCTGCCTTTGCAATTTCTGCTTCTGAATATTCGTGATTTAAGGGCTGTTCATTATCTGTGACTTACATAGATATGGTCAAGTTTGTCAAATCACAATTGGTTTTTTAACTTGAGAAATCAATGATAATTTTATACATGATTGAGTGATAGTTTATCAAATGTTTTTGGTTGATAGTATTTCAAATGTATTTGTTTTCATTGTAATGTTTTTAGACTGATTACATGCTTTGGTTGCGAATTTCATTGTTTGACCATCCCTTAGATGATAGTATCAAAATATACTTCAAACATATGTTATGTAAATTAAGAAGCATTGAGGTTAATTGTCTAACTGTATATTATGATGATTTCACATAGCGCATGCGTATTCAAGCATCAATATCTCAAACAGAAATCCCACTCTTTGATGATCTGTTGGAAGAAGGTGGGTTGTATGCAATGTTGAGCTTCACTGTCAAGTCAAATAATGGAAAGTGGAGACCTACATCACACCGTTTCAAGCTTCAATTCAATGAAACAACTAAAGTATTGCGTCAGGATCTGCAACAGCATCAGGACTTTCCCCGAGAAATTTACAATTTTACATGTTTCAATGATATTCACAACTATCCTGATGTGGCTGCTCCAGATCTCATCGGTAAGCATTTTTTAGTTCAATGCTATTTATAAATGCAACTTAATAAAATCAAATTATCTAATTGCAACTGTGTATGCTTCACTAATTGGTCTTTTATTTCTTATTTTAAGATGTTATTGGTGCGTACAATCCCCTGGACAAATTCAAGAAGCTTCACACAGATTCAGGATCAACATACACCAGCTTTTATATTCGTGATATCGAGTTACGTATATCAATATTGCACCATTTGGAATTGTATGCTACAAATATTATATATTCATAACAATACGCTCTTCTTATGTTAGCAGAAATAAGAGGCTCTTTTGTACTCTATAGAATGTGTACGTTGACCAGTTTGAGGCATATTTATCTGAACCAAGATCAAGCCCGGTGGTTATTTTGCTGCAGCTGTGCCGTATCAATCCAAAATATGGTTAATTTGTTTACTAAACAAGACAACATTATTATTATGATTTTAATTTTCAATTGAATGAAAAAATATTTCCCTACTTAAATGTTTTAGGTGGATGTTCCACAAAAGGAGTAGCTACATCTTTCCATGTGACAAAACTTCTTCTTGATGCACAAGTTCCAGATATAGAAGATTTCCGTGTGAGGTAAACTTCTATTTAAAACAGTCATGTAAGTACATTTGTAGGTGTAAAATGTTTCCATCTACAATTACTGCAAGTATATGTCCATTATAAAAGTGCACTAACATTTGTACTTTGGGTTATAGATACTTGGAAAGTAACCGTAACTCATCTCAAACATTAAGCCATGCTTCAACTTCTTCTGGTGTAACTGTTGCTGGCGGGACAGAAATAGGCTTCACAATGCCACTATCTGAATTGGCAAAAGCGAGTGAGGTAAACCAACCGAAATTGCAAAATTGTAGATATATCTTTGGTGACTGATATATGGCAACAAAATATGCTCCCTTCCTTCAATAGTTAATCTGTACATTATTATTCTTATTATTATTATTAAATTATTATTATTATATTATGAAATTATGAAATAACAGGTTCGCGGTTGTTGGTTCTATGGTCAAATAAGTTCAATAACAAGTTACTCTACTTGGGCTTATCTTGGCTGTAAAATGCCCAAGTGCTATAAAAAACTAAGTACGGGAGGAAATGGAGAATTATCATGTGACAATTGTGGGATTTCGGTTGGTCATGGTGAAGGAGTTTGGCGCTACCATCTAAGACTGAAAGCCAGCCATAACAACAGCACTGCAAATTTGGTCTTCTGGGACACTTTATGCAATCGTTTGATTGGAAAAGCTGCTGGAGATTTCCCCCAACATTATTATGATATTGTAAGCCCATATGACACTACCTTTATTTTACACTAAGTTATCTCATATTCATTCTAATCTAAATGTAACTTGAGTATGTTCTACCATTACATGTGCAGGAGAGGTTGTCTCCTTCTGGCTGCCCAGTTGAGATAAAAGATTTGGTGGGCCGTGAATTTGTCTTTAAAGTTGAACGTCAATCAGGCTCTAACTTAAACGGAAAGAATTACTCTATTGGAATGGTCTCAACGGACCAAAATAAAATTGAGGAGCTTAAGTCCATTGGAGCCGAGGAATCTGAAACACAGGTACCATTTGTATAATTACATTGACCATAATACAACTATGAATTTAAATATGGATTATAATCCCATCATATTAGAGTGTGCAGTTAAGTACACAGGTGTGCAATTATAATTCTAAAACAAATCAGTTATGAGTATATTAGATTAATTTTGAGCAAATGAAATAATTATTGTTGTTCAATGAATGATATGAATGACGTTTTAATCTAATGAGATATATTAGACCATCTTTCCTATTAATCTGTAAATTTAACTTCATATAGCCCTGAATGATTATAGTAGTTACTCCCTCCGTCCCTAAATGTTGTTCCAATTGCGGATTACGAAGGTTGACCGACGATAAAGTTAAATGATCCCTGTGAAAACTCGGATTTTTTTTAGTAAATAAAATTTACATATTCAAAAACTACATTAAACCCGCTACAAAGCCTGCAAAAAACAATTCAACTTTTATAAAATTTTGATATAAAAAGTAAGAGTTTAAGAGTGATTTAAGTTGACCCTCGATAAGCGAAATGGAACTTCTTTTAGGGACAGAGGGAGTATGTAAGTACACTGTCTCTTATTTATATATTTTGTATGTGCAGGGCTATAAGTCTGATGAGGATCTCCAGTTACTGTTTGGTACACCAGCTACAGTTGAATCAAATATAGTAAGTACTTTTTGTTTAATTTTCCAAATTTGTGGTCGATCTTTTTGTTTAATTTTCCAAATTTGTGGTCGATTGGCAAAATCTGATTAAATATAATGTTTGCATGTAGACATCATCCTCGACTGAAAATAATGGATTCCAAACCCCGTCTTCTTCAACGTCAAAGAGACCTCCTGATGATGAAAAGTTAGAGGCATTTGTTGACTCTTCTACACAAAGCTCAACAAATAAGAAATTGAAGGCCATTAAAATTGAGAAATAGGATTCTTGAGTTCTAATGGTGTTGCTTAGTCTGTTTAAATTTTGATTGGGTTTTATTTGAATTGTTATGTTTTCGTCATTGCCATGCTACCTTCTACAATTTGACATTGCATGTTTTCTTTCATTTATTTTTTCGGCAACGAATAAAAATTATTCTATTACATATGGATGCTAATTTGCTAATGAAATATTGCAGATAAATTTATTACGTAGTATTTAGATGTGTTCAAAGTTGTTCATATTGTAATATTTCGTGGAGGGACTTTGTTTGTTTATTAATTAACATAGAGACTGTTTTCCTAAAATATTAAAATTGGAAAACCAAGAAGTGAATAACCGGCAATTTCGTTTTACTGCCTTGACGTATTAATTTTTTTTAGTGAAGGCACTAAAAAATAAAATGGCCGTTCATAAGGTTGCATTCCACTTCAAGCCTTCAACTACTCTAAATTGATGACATATGCCGTATTATGAACCTCTCGGCCGCTCTAAAAAATAGCATACTAATTTGCTATTTTTAACACGTCGGATTGTTTTGACCAAATTTTCCATTGAATAAATTTCAAGTTAGGTTTGAAAACTTCAATCTTTTACTTTTATATATTTAATAATTATCATCATGGCACATTAAAAATATCTTATAATTTCTTCTACACTAATTAAACTGCCACTGTAGTTTTATAAATAATTTCTGATAAATTTGTGAAAAAATTAGTTAATGTTTCTTATAGAATTGTACGGAGTATTTCATTTCAACTATTGTACTTCAATCTATAGATAGTGTTAAATGACATTAAAGATCTACTATTATTTTCATCTGCACTCCTATATATACCATTTATACTTCAAATATAATCTCTTTTTCATACTCAATATTTAAATAATAATAATTATTATTAGTATTATTATAATAATAATAATAACAATAATAATAATAATAATAATAATAATAATAATAATAATTATTATTATTATTATTATTATTATTATTATAAAAATAACCTCAGCCAACTTTTGGAGTTTTTATTTGAATAACGTAACTTTCCATCAATTATGCTAATAAAAAGCACCGTTTTTATTATATAAACACTAAAACTAATTTGAATGATTATCATCTTGGAGTGATAAGATTAAGGCATCCTACTCTACAATATACGAAGTACATGACACGTTACATGCATAGATTTTTTTATTAAATGTGTGAAAAAAGAGATAATGTTTGTTAGGGCTAAGGAATGTGTTTCATTTCAACTACAATTCTCAAACGTAATTCTTAGATAATTTTAAATTAGGTTAGACCTCTATCATTATTCAACCAAACTCCGATCCTATATATACCAAGTTCGTGTGTTCATAACAAGCACATCAAAAGTATTATCTTTCTTTCATATTTCTTTGTTAGCAACTTTCCTTAAAAAGAAATATTATGAAAGTTTAATTTGCTCCTACAAATTAACACTTCATGTTTAATCTCAAATCTCAATGACTAAATGACCAATCTCAGTCTTGTGCGGTAATAAGATGACGGTTGTTTTTGCTCATATGCTACATGTCATTTCGCTTGATGATCCAGTGCGTAGACTCTACTCCGCTATCTTCACCCGACTCATTCCGTGCTTTAATATTACAAGGTTAGTTATAGTGACTTCATTTGTATATAATTGATACAATTGATTTTTGTACTAAATTGCTAATGAAATAGGTAGAAGTTGTTTTATTATAAAGAATGAACTCTCCGTTTTAATATTAGAGAAGAATTTTTATTATTAAAGAACTCTTATATAGGAAATATTTAAGTTTTATTAATTTGGGTGGACCAAGACCTAGATTAGCCCTCCTCAACTCCACTTGAATACACGCCTACCCAAGAAAAAAGTTAGTTAGTTATTATATCATTATTACTACCTTTATTTGTTATGAAAAACTTATTTGAATGATTATCATCTTGGAGTGATAAGATTAAGGCATCCTACTCTACAATATACGAAGTACATGACACGTTACATGCATAGATTTTTTTATTAAATGTGTGAAAAAAGAGATAATGTTTGTTAGGGCTAAGGAATGTGTTTCATTTCAACTACAATTCTCAAACGTAATTCTTAGATAATTTTAAATTAGGTTAGACCTCTATCATTATTCAACCAAACTCCGATCCTATATATACCAAGTTCGTGTGTTCATAACAAGCACATCAAAAGTATTATCTTTCTTTCATATTTCTTTGTTAGCAACTTTCCTTAAAAAGAAATATTATGAAAGTTTAATTTGCTCCTACAAATTAACACTTCATGTTTAATCTCAAATCTCAATGACTAAATGACCAATCTCAGTCTTGTGCGGTAATAAGATGACGGTTGTTTTTGCTCATATGCTACATGTCATTTCGCTTGATGATCCAGTGCGTAGACTCTACTCCGCTATCTTCACCCGACTCATTCCGTGCTTTAATATTACAAGGTTAGTTATAGTGACTTCATTTGTATATAATTGATACAATTGATTTTTGTACTAAATTGCTAATGAAATAGGTAGAAGTTGTTTTATTATAAAGAATGAACTCTCCGTTTTAATATTAGAGAAGAATTTTTATTATTAAAGAACTCTTATATAGGAAATATTTAATTTTTATTAATTTGGGTGGACCAAGACCTAGATTAGCCCTCCTCAACTCCACTTGAATACACGCCTACCCAAGAAAAAAGTTAGTTAGTTATTATATCATTATTACTACCTTTATTTGTTATGAAAAACTTATTTACCAGAACAATGAAAATAATCAATTAAATTTGTTGGCATTTTTATCATATATGATTGATCATGCAAGTATAAGGTAAAGGTATAGATTAATACACGTAGTATGATTATTGGGGTGTACGAGAATACAATTTGAGGACTATATATATGTCATTAAATGGGTAAATACAAAGGAACCGGAACATTAACACACTTGATATAGATAACAATGATTTCCTAAAGCTTAGATTGAGAAGCTTGTGATATGTATAAATTTAGCTCACAGTCTCAAGTTTTGTTTCTTCTGTGAAACCATCAATCTCAATTGCAAAGTTCAATAGGTAGACTGATTAAAAGAGCCTGGAAATGAGCAATGAACATTCTAAAGGTTATACTTTAGAATTATAAAGGTTAATAATTACAATTTTGATTTTCCATTTTATCTACCAAAAACTTTACACATTAATTTACACATAAAATCATTAAGAAATTAATAAATTCAAGGCTTAAAAATGATTTTTCATTGGTATACTTATTTTTATTTACAATTATAACAATTACAATAAGCATTGTATTTTAGGCATTTCTATGTTATTATAAAAAATGGCTTTTAAGTACGAATCAATGTGTGTCTTTAATTTCTCACTCCCATTGTGTATATATGTGTACATGCATTAGGCATTAGATGCCGAAATCCACGAAGTTATTAAATGCCAATGGAAAACGGCCACTTGTGAGTGACCCGTCAACATATGATGAAGATGTAGCTGGGTCTAGCAATTTTGACACTCTTGATTGTGACATAGACCTAGACAGCGAAGGTAAAATGTTTGATTAATTAATTTTCACATTAATGACACATTATTAAATGTCTTTTATTTTATTTCGATACTGTATATTAACCTCATTTATTTGAGAAAAAAATATTAGTTCACAATATTTCACCTCTAATTTTGTAATAGATCTAAACTTCAAAATTTTAAAATAAAGTATCATAAACTAATAGCATATACACAGTATACACAAACACGTCCATAAACTTATACAGAATAAACATGTTTGCATATTTTTCGTTTTCCAGAGTCTGAAAATGAAGGAATGCTCGATGAGTCACTTGATTTTGACTCGGGCAACTTTGAAGATAATGGTACGTAACAATAAGTTTAAACACGACAAACGACTATTTACTTCTGCTTTGAAATGTCTTCTTATCCTAATTGGTCAAATTGTGATAACCTTAATTCTTTGTCATTCAATTTTTAACAGATGCTAATTTTGACCAAGAGTGTTTCCATACACAAGGTACTTACTCCTTAATATGTTTTAACTCTATTCTTAAGACATTTAGTCGGTTGAGAAAAGTCTTTATTTTTTTTAACATTTATTATGAATAATATTTTGTAGCATATGTGGATCTTGGAGATGCTAATCACGAGTGTGAGTATTGTGGGGCCCTTTTCTGGTATGCTGAGAGGGTAAAGAGACATTCTGTAAAGCAACGCCCAAAATTTTCAATGTGTTGTAATACAGGAAATATCGTTCTTCCTGCTATGCAGCAGCCACCTAAAATTTTGAATGACCTCATATTTCACTCTGAGCCTAGAAGTAAGCACTTCTTGAATAACATTCGGTCCTACAATTCAATGTTTGCATTCACTTCGATGGGTGGGAGAGTCGATACAGATATAAATAGAGGTAGGACGCCACCAATATTCAGACTGAATGGTCAAAATTACCACAAGATTGGTAGCCTAATACCAAATGAAGGACAACGTCCAAAATTCTTACAGATGTATTTGACTGATCCAGAAGAAGAGGTTGCATCTAGAATCTCATCTGTGAGGTCAGTAATTAATTTTCATTTTTTACAAATGTAGTCTAATTTATTTTTTATTGAAATATTTAGGAAAATTATAATACCCTCAAAATGTGAATTATTTTATAAATTAAAATTTCAAGATTAATATACATGACTATATTGATTTTAGGTCCTCTGGTGGAACCACATTACATGATACATTAGTATCGGATTTACGAGATATGTTGGATGCATACAATGTTCACGCACAATCATTTAGGATGGCTCGTGATAGGTTTAATGAGACTAACTCTATCTCTTTGAAGATGAAGCTTATTGGTAAAAGAAAATCAGATGGACGAACTTACAATACCCCTACTGCTCGTGAGGTAGCCGCACTTATTGAAGGGGACTTCAGCTTGAACCGAAAAGAGAGGGATGTTGTTCTTCAAAAGAAATCTGGAAAGTTTCAAATTATATCAGAACTGAATCCTTCTTTTCTAGGATTGCAATATCCGTTACTTTTTCCATATGGTCAAGACGGTTTCAGAGAGGATGTTAAGCTGACACGTGCATCTAAAGCGACCACAAAGGGCAGAAAACATGTTACAATGAAGGAGTTCTTCTCATACAGATTGCAAGAAAGGAATAACGAGAGCCCTTACGTATTGAGATCAAAGAGATTATTCCAACAATTTATTGTTGACGGATATACCATGATTGAGTCATGCCGTTTGGCATATATTAGGCTACATCAAAAGGACTTGCGAAGTGAACTCTATACAGGATTGGCTGATGCTGTTGGTCGTGGTGAAACTGATGGATCAAGATTAGGACAACTCATTGTACTTCCTAACTCATTCACTGGCAGTGCACGTTATATGATTCAAAACTACCAGGACGCGATGTGTATTTGCAGGTGGGCGGGATACCCACAACTCTTCATCACGTTCACATGTAACCCGCAGTGGCCTGAGATTGTTCGCTACGTTCAGTGTAGAGGACTCACTCCAGATGATCGCCCGGATATCATTTGTAGAATTTTCAAGATAAAGCTTGACATGCTCATAAAAGATCTGAAAGAAAATAAGATATTCGGTGAAGTTAAAGCTGGTATGAGTTGATTTTTTTTATTAGTTAGTGAATTTTTATTAAATTACATTATTATGAATACTTTTCTCTTGGCCCAATAACTATATTTCCCTTTGATGGTAAACTGATATACGGGCTATCCATCAATTTTATACTATGTAGTTGTATACACGGTGGAGTTTCAGAAACGTGGATTGCCACACGCCCATATTGTTTTATGGTTACCACGAAGGGACACAGCTATATTGGCATCACACATCGATAGCATTATTTCAGCTGAGATTCCGGATGAGAAATGTGATCCTGATTATTATGTTGCTGTCAAAGAATTGATGGTGCATGGGCCTTGTGGGCATATGAACCCATCTTCACCGTGTATGGATAATGATCGTTGCACAAAACACTTTCCGAAGAAATTTGTGAACCGTACTACAATTGATGGAAGTGGATTTCCTATTTACAGAAGAAGAGACAATGGAAGGAGTGTATTAAAGAATGAGAACCCCCTTGACAATAGATTTGTCATCCCTCATAACCGTGCATTATTGCTCAAGTACGGGGCTCACATTAATGTCGAGTGGTGTAACCAAACTCGGGCAGTGAAATACCTCTTCAAGTACATCAACAAGGGCAATGATCGAATTACAGTTGCATTCTCTGAGGCATCCGACAACCGTACGCCAGAAAAAGTTGATGAGATTAAAATGTATTACGATTGTCGGTATATCTCTGCGTGTGAAGCGGCTTGGAGAATATTTGGATTCCACATTCATTACAGGGACGTCGCGGTTGAACGTCTAAGCTTTCATCTCCCGAACCAACATCACGTCTACTACAATCCTGAACAATCTGTCACTTCCGTGCTTGGACGTCCTACTATCCACGCTACTAAGTTTTTAGCTTGGATGCATGCAAATAATGTGTATCCTCAAGCTAGGAACTTAACTTATGCTGAATTTCCTACAAAGTTCACCTGGAAAAACAATACAAGAGAGTGGGTACCACGACAAAGAGGCACCGCAATTGGAAGACTATATTTCATGCGCCCAGGAGCAGGGGAGAAATATTATTTGAGGATGCTCCTTGGTGTCGTGAAGGGTGCAAGGAGTTTTGAAGAACTCAGGACAGTTGATGGAGTCATACACTCGACGTTTAGAGAAGCTTGCTCTGCCCGTAATATGTTAAATGACGATAAAGACTATATAGATGGACTTATAGAACAAAGCCATTGGGCAACAGCGCATGAACTTCGCATCACATTTGTTCATCTTTTACTACAAGAGTCATTATCTATGCCCAGTATGGTTTGGGAGAAGTGTTGGTCCTATCTATCTGATGATATACTCTACACTATTAGGAAGAACCTCAATGATCAAGGTATGTTTATTATGTAATGGCATTCCTTAAATTTAGATATATTTAACAAACGATAATATTAAGAGTAATGTAGATGGACATCAAGATATTTTGAAATTAAAAATTGCCTTTTATATATTACATTTAAATATTATTATTCACTAATATCAAATATTTGACCCTTATGTTGTAATAAATTGCATATCTCGGGGTAAAATTTACTCTTATGTCATAAATAATTTTTAAATATTAAGGACTTCACTAAAAAAGTGTTCATAAATAGTTCTATATATAATTTAATAATCTATTTTTAGATAGTAGTTGGTATAATATTTTGTTTCTGCAGCATCAAATTTACGGATGTGTTGATTGTTTATAACACCTACAAAATCAATGGTTTAACCATTTAGAATTTAAAAGCAATCTAATTACTTCTTAAATGTATTGATATTAAATTTGCAATAACCATTTTTTTTTTTACAGAATTGCAGCTGGATGAGAAGCAAATAAAGAATTATTGTTTGTTGGAAGTTGAAAAACTTCTACAACATCGTGGAAAGTCTCTATTCTACTATGACGGAATGCCTCGAGTAACGGATCTTGACATCCCCTCTCTTGATGATGTTTTGATACACGAGGAATTGAGATATGACAAACATGCTTTGGCCGAGGAACATGCTAGATTAATTTCCGCGTTGACAGAGGATCAAAAGCGTGTTTACGAGACAATAGTGAGTTCTGTGGAGGCCAACCGTGGCGGTGTGTTCTTCTTATATGGACACGGTGGTACAGGGAAAACATATCTGTGGAAGACCTTATCAGCATATATAAGACATCAAGGAAATATTGTGTTGAACGTAGCTTCAAGTGCGATCGCATCATTGCTCCTTCCTGGTGGAAGAACGGCACATTCCAGGTCAGTTTTTTAGATTTAAAAAATTGTAATTTCAAATAAATACTAACACAATGAATTGTAACTTTCAGGTTTAAAATCCCACTCACAGCAGCGGAAGATTCAACTTGCAATATAAAGCCAGGAAGTGCCCTTGCGAAGCTAATTCAAATGACGAAATTGATAATTTGGGACGAGGCACCTATGACTAATAAGTACTGCTATGAAGCTCTTGATAGAACTATGCGGGATATTCTTCGACATTCATATGGTTGTGATGGGAGCAAACCTTTTGGTGCAAAAACAATTGTCTTTGGCGGAGACTTTAGACAGATTCTACCGGTAATTCCAAAGGGTAGCAGGCAAGATATTGTGCAAGCGACTTTAAACTCATCCTTCCTTTGGCCGTTTTGCAAGGTACTAAGGCTAACGAAGAACATGAGAGTGCGGAGTGGATCAGACGATCTTAATTCTGCAAACATACAATGGTTCATTGATTGGATTTTAAAGATAGGGGACGGGGTTCTAGGTGACAATGAGGATGGAGAATCATATATTCACATACCTGAAGAATTCCTCGTGCCTTGGATTTCTGATCCAGTTACTTCTATTGTCCAAAGTACATATCCCGATTTCTTGACACATTGCACATCGCCATCATATTTAATGTCAAGAGCAATACTTGCGCCAACAGTTGACGAGGTGGATAAGGTTAATGATTACATGCTCGCACAACTACCATCAGAAATGAAGACATATTTCAGCTCTGATTCTGCATCATTGTCTGATTCTGATAGTAGTTTGTTGCAAGAGATCCATTCTCCAGAATACCTTAATGGAATCAAATGTTCCGGAGTACCTAGCCATGAGCTCAAATTAAAAGTGGGTGCCCCTGTGATGCTTATGAGGAATCTTGATCAATCATTGGGTTTGTGTAATGGCACTCGACTTTTAGTGACCCGACTTGGAAAAAATGTTATTGAGGCCCAAATGTTGTCAGGGCCAACTGCCGGCCAAAAGCATTTCATTCCCCGTCTTACCTTGACTCCTTCTGATGTCAAACTGCCATTCACCTTTCAGCGTAGGCAATTTCCTCTTATGGTTAGTTATGCGATGACTATAAATAAGAGTCAGGGTCAGTCATTGGAAAATGTTGGGATATTCTTACGGCGACCGGTTTTTAGCCATGGGCAGCTTTACGTTGCTGTATCAAGAGTCACGAGTCCAGCTGGTTTGAAGTTTTTGATATGTGATGATAATGGTAGACCGACAAACTCCACATTAAATGTTGTATACAAAGAGGTCTTTACCAATTTGTAGTTTTACATTTTGCCTTGAATAAATTTGAGAACATTTTAATTTTAATTCCATATTACAATATTATGCACTCATTTGTAAAAATAATTTAATTATTGTTAAAATAATCAACTTTTCATCCCGTGCAACGCACGGGTTAGATGACTAGTCACTACTTAATACTCAGGAGAAAATGGGGGTGTTTTCCCAAAATAAGGGAAAAGGTAACTTGGGTTTCCAAAACATGGGAGTTGGAATTGGCTATTCCGACTAGAGTTAGGGTTTCAACAAAATTGCACGCCACTTCGAGTAGGAATTCCGTAATCCGACACAATGTATTTTTTTTTTATTTAATTGCAGTTGGAATTACCAAATCCGACTACAGTTTTTTTTTCTAGCATGCACTTTTGAATTTATTTAAATAAGGTCCCACTACATGTTTTGAAATGTAATCCCCTACACTTCCGAAATCAATTCGAATATTCATGTGAGGTGTAAGTTAATTTATTTATTTATACTAAAAGTGAATATTTTTAAATTAGGGTTATGTGATTAATTTTATGTGATTATTTAAATGACTAAATTATGTGATTAATTTTATTTGGTTAAAATTATTTAATTAAATTTTGTCTGATTAAGTTTTATCTGATTATATTTTATATGATTAAATTTAATCAGGTTTGTAACGGTACAAAGTAGATATAAGTAACATTTAGAAATTTCATTATTGTAATTATTATATCATTATAAATTATTATAGCTATTGTCCTTCAAAAACTATTGTAATTACTACTCCCTCCGTCCCATTTTAAATGTCCCGGGATAGGGTGTCACAAGTTTTAAGAAAAGTGAGCTTGTGTGATTGATATTAATTGATAAAGTAAGAATAAAGTAAGAATGAATTTGAGCCACACAAACTTTACCAAATAAGGTATGAGACAATTAAATAGGGACATCCCAATATGATAAAATGAGACATTTAAAAGGGGACGGAGGGAGTATGTCCTTATAAAGACGAGTCGTGCTTGGTGCACATATTTGTGTGTACACCTTTGGCATGTTTATTTGTCTACAAAGATAGAGTTGTCTGTATACACAAAATTTATATTGAAATATAAAGTTTTCTATATACATATATTATATAGATAACTGTGTCTATATAGACAAACAAGTGCGTCAAAGGTGTACAGTAAGAGGTGTACACCTAGCATTCTTTTATACTCACGCACGGAGTAATTGCTAAGGGGTACATATTACGTAGTACTACTATACCTCTGTCCCACTAACATCGGAACAAAAGGGATGACCTGATTATTTAGAAAAGTTAGCTTATGTGATTAATATTGAATTAATAAAATAATAAATAAAAAATGATTTAGAGTCACACAAACTTTACCAAATTTGATACTTCGCATGAAACAATTTTAGTTGGATTTAGAGAATACTCTGTATTTTATTGCTACAGATTACTACCTCCGTCCCGCTGGAAGGTTCCCATAGCAAAACAGAACGGTTATTTAGGTGATAATTAAATAAAGTACTTCGGCTATGTTTTGAGAAATAATTTTAATAGGTATATATTATAATGTATTAGTATTGATAACTGCGATGTTACAAATGTATTGTTTTTAATAATTAATGACTAATTTGTCAATTAAGATTGTTAATTGTTTCCTAATATGGAAATGAGAACATTCTTATGTGACATCCAAAACATGAAAGGGGAAACCTTCTAACGGGACGGAGGGATTATTTAATAAGTATATACTCCATATGTAGTATTATACGTAGTATATAGCAAATTTCCTTATAATAATTATAGTTCTATAGTATATAGGACATAATTACTTATGAGTTAGGGCCCACCTAGTATAAATTACGTAGTAATTCCTAATGAATGAGTATCATTGCTATGGAGTGGATACGTATATTGTTGGCCGGAGTTTTGCTCTTGACATAATTTTTTTATTCAATAGCTCTAGTCGGAATTGAGTATTCGGACGGTTTGTTTTACTTAATTTTTTCTCAACCTAATCTAGGTGTTCCTCTAGTTGGATTTACGAATTCCGACGGGAGTAAAATGGAATTAAGCATTATTACCATATGTTTTCTACAAAAAAAAGGTTCCCCGTTTGCCAATTCCGACAGAAGATGTTCCACAAAAAAACTAACCCTAACCCTGCAGGTCGGAACACCCAATTCCGATTCCCGTATTTTGGCATCATTTTTTGAATTCAGATTTTGGGATTGAATTAATTTTTTTGGACCATTTCTCGATTTTATGTAATTTGAATATTTCATTATTATTTCTATGATCTTTTTTAATTTATTTTCCAGTCAAATACGTAGTAGTAGTAGTATGAATTATTATGGTTAACTCGAAATCTCCAATGAAACCTTTTTAAATGCAAAAACACGGTGTAATAATTGGAAGTTTGATAATGTTCCTTGACCGAAATGACTGATGTTCCTTTTTCGTATTTTTATTTCGTTGATGAATCATACGGAGTACTCCGTAATACGTTTAATAGATGGAAGATATTAAATTTACATTGCAAATTCGTACTCCATAATACGTTCAACATCAGGATTTTTTTTTATTTCTTTACTAATAGGGTATATCAAAGTTGTGCATTGACAAATTCTAAAATGCAAACATTACAATTACAATTGAAAAAGAAGGGAGGAAATGTGTTACTATAGTTTCCCACAAAACATGATCATATCAATTGGGTTATTCAAGTGAAATTTTGAATAATGGTTTTAATCAATGTTTAAATGAAGCTTATTAACTATAATTTTTTAAAAAAGAATTCCAATAAAGATTTTTTTTAACATAATTTTGATATTTTAAATAATTTTATATGAAGAAATAACTTTGGTCAAAATCGGTCATTCTTGACCAAAAATGGTCCATATAATTAACAAATTAAAGCCTTTTGGAGGTGAGGACTGAGGAGGGGTACAATTTAAAGACACCTCTTCAATCTATCAACTACTTCAATTATTTCAGGAAATAAGTGAATAACAGTAAAACATGCCGAGTAGCAAGTTTTCTCAACTAAAGAGTTGCTTTATTTTCTCCAGAACATAGGACTAATGCACTCCTTTTAATGAATTTTTATTATTTTTTAATAAGACTAAATAAATATTACCTCTGTCCCATGAACATTGGGAGTGATGCACATATTAAGAAATATGATTAATATTGATAAAGTAAGAATGATTTTATGATTTGGAACCATTTTTTTTATTTTTTTATGAATGATTTTTTTTTTCCTCCGGAAGACAAACCACCAAAATCAGTGGGGTAAATGCCGGAGTACATTTACCAAAGTATTATTAAGGATAATTGATTACAAAAAGGGGGGGGGGACCAAACCAAAGCCTCTAAAACAGCAAACCAACGGAAAGGGAAAAAGAAAAAATTGGGGGGGCTAGGCCTGACCCAATAAGAATTACAAGAGCTAAAACCGTAAAACCAGAAATCCAAACAGATCAGCATAATAACTCTGTTTAACTTTAATGGGCAGTTGACCAATTCGATTAAAAACCATAACTTGGGCTGACTCCAATCTCACATTTGCAAGCCAATGGGCTGGCCCATTACCTTCCCTAAAAACATGGCCGAAAGTATATCTATTGCTCGTTGCTTTCTGTCTGAAATAGCTTAGGTTTCCTGATTCGGCCATGATTTCGGCTAACACATGGGAGGCATCAGTTTCAACTTCAACATCGACAAACCCAGCTTCCATCAACATTTCAGATGCTGTAATCAACGACCTAAGCTCCGCCTCAACGCTTGAAATCGCCTGGACGCCGAAGCTAGCCGCCCAGACCAGTTCGCCAGCACGATTTCTGAGAATGGCTCCCCCCGAAACAAACCCAGGTTTGAAGGAAGCATCTACATTAAGCTTATACGTTTTCTTAGGTCGTTTCCATTTGACAATTTGAATTCCATGGCTTTTGAACTTGAAACTGGTTGGAATGAGACTTTCTTGAATAAGAAAATTTTCCACCTTTCTTCTTTTGATGTTGGCCAAAGAGTATACCCATTGCTGAGTATATGATTTGATTTGAAGTATCAATTGATCTGCTCTAGGTGTGTAACCGGAACCCCAAATGGAAGATGAGTAAGCCTTCCAAATATGCCATGTAATGATGTCAGGCAAACAATGCATAAATATATCACCCATTGTTTTTGACCCTGCCTCAATCCACCATAAAATCAAAACTTGTCTAATTTGAGCTGCTTCAGGCATTCTAATCCCAAAAAGCCCCGTGAACTATTGCCATATTCCCTTGGAATAATTACAGCCAAAGAATACATGATCAGTAGTATCACAATTATTCCTGCATAAGGGGCATCTTGATGGCTGAAGTGTGGATTGAAATCTTTTAAGGTTGTCAGTAATAGGAAGATAAGAATTTAACAATTTCCAAAGAAAAATCTTAATCTGTGTAGACTGATTCTTATGCCAAATGTGTTTATCAGTAAATCTGATTGACCTGTTATCTCTTATTTCATGGTATGCAGAGGCAAGAGAGAAGACTCCATGAATACCTGGATCCCACTTCAACACTCCTTCAGGAGTATAAGAGCACAGGTCAGTAGCAGCTTCATGTACCCCACACAGTCTCCTCCAAATGCTGGAATCAGTAATTTTTGGCCTCATATTATTCCCTCTAGGATATCTAGCCTCAATGAATTTGCTCCAAATTTTGGAACCATAAATGCATGTTTTACCAAATTTAGTATGAAACATTTTTAGTGAGAGAAAAAAGACAATCTCTAGGATGGAATGATTATTATTTAGTCAAGAAAATATAAATCATGTTTTAGATCATTGCATATGTTTAATTTTATTCTTGTTTTAAGCAATTTCTATTTTTTTTTAGAGATTTAACCATCTCAGTCTTCTCAATTTGAATGACTTCTACAGCAATGCACGCTAAAAAAAAGAGAATTGATATGAAAAGCTTTTAAGAAAATCCTTGTTATACTTAAATTTGTCATAAACACTTCGCCAGCCTAAAAGTAATTATTTCATTATTTCATAGACAAATCCTTATATATTTAATTGCGTAAAATGTATAAATGGTCCTCGAACTATTA